TTTAAATGTAATTATAATTATTATATTATTGTAATATTATATTACGTTATTATTATATATTTATTAATTATTATATTTATTGATATTTAAAAACATTTAAATATTATTGTAAATAAAAACTAAATAATTTATTATTTATTTCTTGTGATTTTGGAATCAAATATTAAGTAGATGTTTATTTTTTTAAGATAATATTGCATCATTCATTCACTGATTCATTGTAAAGGTGGTGTATTCTGTACCGTTTTGCTGCCCCTGCGGGATGGCACAGGAGGTGGAGGTGGCAGAGAGGTGACGGGGGCCGTGGCGGGGGCAGGTGGAGGTGGAGGCGGAGGCTGGGGCGCCCCCAGAGGGTCTCGTGCGATCAGCATCCTCACCTGGGTACCGCAGGCCTGCAGCACCTGCACCACCTGGTCACTGGCCAGACCTCGAGTAGACGTCTCACCGATACGCAGGATGTGGTCACCTGTTCTCAGCCTCCCGTCCTGGAAGTGGATGAGAGAAAGGAGTAAGTTGACGTTTACACGCGCATGAATAATGCAATCATTTCCAATAATCAGAGTAATGACTTAATCGCTTTTGTATGGTTGCATTCCATGCTTTTTCGGCCCCATAGAAATGTGATGGCAATTTGTTTGCATATGCTGCCGTTGTGTTCTACTCGCCGTTTCTGGATGAGGGTAAGGAACAGAGACTGGCGGCAGTGAGTTGTGTTTTCCCCAGAATGCAATGCTTTCTTCCCCACCAACGTTTCTATTCTGCATATTATTACAGGTGCTAATCCAGATGGGTTTGTCTGTAATACCCATTATTCCCAATAATTGTTACAAAATTATATATGTAGGAATATATATATATATATATATATGGAAATTTTAATATATTGTTGAACATTTAATGAAAATTTAATGTTTATATTTACATTTTAATTATATATTTTTTGTTACATTATACATGTATCGCAAATATTTGCATATATACATTTATTTCATTTAGTAAGACTTTATTTTAAGGTGTCCTTGTCACACGTACTTACTATTATAATAACAACAATTAATTATGCATAATAACGTACAAATAACCCTTAGCCAAACCCTAATCCTAACCCTAACCATATAGTAAGTACATGTCGTTACTAAATATTACTCAGTACTTAAATGTATATTTACACTGTAACAAGGACACCTTAAAATAGTGTAATCTTTCATTTTTATGTAATTTTTTAGATTGTTCAACATAGACGCAGTATATGTTTGTTTAAATTTGATCTTTTTTTGTGAAATTATACATGCATCTAAACATTTGTATATATAAAGTACATTTATTTTATGTAATTTGTTATATTGTTAAACATACACATAGTAAATGTTTATATTTAAATTTGATGTTTATTACTCAAATTTGTTAAAAATAATAAAAAAACGATATCTCTCTATTTAATATATATATATATATATATATATTAGTGCTGTCAAATGATTAATCGCATCCAAAATAAAAGTTTTTGTTTACATATGTGCGAGTACTGTGTGTATATTTATTATGTATATATAAATACACACACGCAGTATATATTTTGAAAATATTTACATTTATTTACATGTATATTTATAGTCATATAATTTATATTATATATATATATATATATATATATATTAGTGCTGTCAAATGATTAATCGCATCCAAAATAAAAGTTTTTGTTTACATATGTGCGAGTACTGTGTGTATATTTATTATGTATATATAAATACACACACGCAGTATATATTTTGAAAATATTTACATTTATTTACATGTATATTTATAGTCATATAATTTATATTATAAATAAATATATTTAATATATAAACAACAATATTATTTTTTCTTAAATATATACATAATAAGTATACACAGTACACACACATATTATGTAAACAAAAACTTTTATTTTGGATGTGATTAATCGTTTGACAGCACTAA